TTAGTTACTTATATAAAATAAGCTCTGCTTAAAATTATATAACATAGTATTAAACGATATTATATAGAACTACCTTGAGGTCTTGTAAAAGGCTTATAAGTAATTTATTATAAGACTTATTAATATTATATTATAGGATCTTAAGGTTTTAAGTTTATATTATATATTCTATTATTTTTCTATTTCTAAGGTGATTTAGCTTTCTCTAAGGAGAGATTAAATATTATAGCTCTATATAGAGTCTTCTTTTAGCTTATTTCTTAAGCCTGCTAATCAGCCTTATACTAGCTTTCTTTTGTATATCCCTTTAACCTAAGTTTATTCTTTGTCTAGTTCTAGTGTCTCTTCCTGTTATACGAAGGCCTATTATTAATTAATATTTAGAAAAGGGGAAGGGGAAAAAGGAAATAAAGTAAGGGAGGGCAAGAGAGAAGAGGAAGGGGTAGGAGTCTAGAAAAAGGGGATAGAAATCTAAGAGGAAGAGGAAGGAGAAGGCTTTTTATTTATAATTATGTATATGAACCCTTAGGCCTTGTTCTTATAATTATATTACATCTTTGACTATTTGTTTTCCTGGATCAGACATATTAATAATCACGCCTTATAGCCTTCTGAGCAAAGGCTATATTATATAGCTTTCTAGTTAGTCTTTTTAATACATGCTCCTGTTCTGTAGTTTCCTATATAATAACCGCAGATCTAATCTTTTTAACACTAGGTAAATATGTATCTAAAGCCTTAACATTTATAGTATTATCAAATTTATAAGGATTTATTATATTATATAACTGACTTAAACTTTATATTATAAATGAGTTCTTTGTCCAGAACCTTATTAGTTATCTTTGCGTATACTAGCTTCAGAATTATATAATTAAACTTGCCCTTTATTAGTATGCTTTTTAGCTATCTTAAGTATATAATCTTTAATATTAAGAAAAGTCTGGTGTTTTCTTGCTCTAGTTCTTTAGTTATTTCTTATTTATTCTAGTTTATTTCTATTTATATAGATTTAATTAAGACTTTATATATTTTAGACTTTACTTAAGCAAGAGGACTTAGTGCTTTTATCTAGAATATATCTTTTTAAAGTCTTATACAGAATTCTGTATTATTTATATATAAGGCTATTTCCTTATTTAATAGCTTCTTTATAGTAATAATAAATTTCTTTCCTTTTATATTATTATATTACTTATTAATTATCTTTATTATCTTTTTTATAAATAGCTTATTAACTTTGTCCTTTTCTTAGCTACTAGTAAGTTATATAATTATCTTTGTAGTCTCTAAGAGTGATTAATTAGTTGATTAAGGTTTCTTAGCAGAGGGCTTTACAGGCCGTTACTATATAGCGTCTGCGTACGACTAAGGTTTTCCCCTTAGTTAGGGGGCTAGGGCTAATCTTGTCAGGGCTTGCTCTATCTGTTCTAATTGTGCTGCTAGGTCCTAGGCTTGATCTTGTTTCTCTAATAGGTTATTTATAGTGTGTGCTTCTCGTGATTTAGGCGCATTCCTCTAAGGGGTAGGCGCGTTCTAGTTTTATTACTTATAAGAGCAGAGGTAGAGAATAGGATTGAGGAGTAGTCGTACATCATGCTATAGGACTGCCTCTTCTAGGCCTTTATAGGTTTCTTCTTATGCTTAAATGAATTCGCGTACGAAGTCAATTATTTATATATGTATATCTGTTATATTTGCCAAATTCGTCTATTATATGCTTTATAACCTTAAGTAATTAATATATAAATATTAGGTTAATAGAATTTACTACTATTATATAACAACTCTATCAAAAAATTTCCTCTAAATTTTCAAGTCTGCTTTGTCTCTTATTTCTCTCTTCCACATAATATTGAGATAAAAGTTTTTATATATAATTCATTTTCTAATATTTTATAACAACTTAAGAACACTTTTTAGATAGTTTATTACCTAGGAAAAGTAGTTAGCTTAAATTGAAAAGTATGTTTTTTGGTGCAAAATGTTAGGATTTTGAGGTGTGTTGAGAGTTGAACGCGCCCCGGATCTAGCGCCCCGGTGCTTGGCGTGGCCATTGTGCTTGGTATGTGTTCTGCAGCGCTTGGTGACAAGCACATGCTTGGCACTAGACTTGGCTTGTGTGTCTTGGCGCCTGGATGTATCTGTTGCGCCTTTGTATCTTTGCTCATAGTTCTTCTTCTTCTTCTTCTTCTTCTTTGTAGCCAATATACACTTTGCGCATGCTCTACCCCTTTCGATGCCTTAGCACTCTAACATAGAATTCGCAAAACTACTCGAAAAAATAATTAATAGTCTGATTCGTCAATTTCGATACCCACAGAGCCTCCACGCAGGCTACATACGATAGTCGATACTCCATAGCGTACACGACTTCTTTACGCTGCGCAGGCTACAACTGACAGATTACCTCGAAAAAAAATCTTTTTAATCAATCCCATCGCACTCCCAACTAGAAGAGTCCTTATACCAGGACCGACATGGTCTAGGACTTCTACTATATTTAGAACTTGGACGGTGACGACACAAACCTTGCTACAGCCATACAGGTAGAGGGCCGCTCATGCTTGACAGTGTCCTAGGCAAGCAGACCCGTGATCGGCGTTAGCACTCAACGGAGAAAGGAGGGGCGGGGTTGGAGGTGCGCCACGGGTTGACTGGCCAGAGAGGTGGTCAATTCGACTAGAAATGAAGACATTATTATGTACAACTTAAGTTGTCAGATCGAGCAAAGCCTCAAGTGATGACGTTGGCAGTCATGCTCACCAGCTTTCGTGTCTTGGAGTGTGCTTTGGAGGACTGCCTGACTGGTGCTGCGTTAGAACTTGAAACGCGGCCAGGGACCAAAACAAACTTTTACTTGTACGGAACGCCACCAGCAAAATCTTATCGAAAGGGGAGAAGCCAATCACTCTGGTTATAATAGTTTTTGACCTGCCGCCGTCTTGTTTGGCTTGCTGAGACCTACGGACAGTTTTTTCACTCACCCCTGGAGGAGTGATCACAAAAGTCATGGTCGAAAAGCTGTTCGAAACGCCAACTGGAAGCACATGTTCCTTGACGATATCTTGTCCATGCCTGACTCGTGGGAGTATCCTTTCTTTGCGGCTTGGGATACAGCATTTCACTGCATACCGCTGGCCATGATTGACCCCGACTTTGCTAAGAAACAGCTTGATCTTCTCACCCGAGAATGGTACATGCATCCAAACGGCCAGCTCCCAGCTTACGAGTGGAATTTTGGGGATGTAAATCCACCGGTACATGCTTGGTCGGTCTTCCGAACCTTCAAGATCGAGCGCAAAATGTATGGACGCCAAGATCTTGACTTCTTAGAACGAGTCTTCCAAAAGCTGTTGCTCAATTTCACATGGTGGGTCAATCGTAAAGATTATGACGGCAAGAACGTCTTTGAGGGCGGCTTTCTGGGTCTAGACAATATCGGACTCTTCAATCGCTCCGAGCCCTTACCAACAGGTGGTGTGCTCGAACAAGCCGATTCAACAGGCTGGATGGCCTTCTATTGTCTGTCCATGCTGAACATTGCTCTCGAACTGGCCAAGCATCGCCGCATATACGAAGACATCGCCTCGAAATTCTTCGAGCACTTCATCCTCATCTCCGACGCCATGACCTTTCGAGCAGGAGGGGCTGAGAAATCGCTGTGGAACGAGGAAGACGGCTTCTACTACGATGCTATCTCCTGGGGCGGCCCATGGACTCAACAACTTCCCGTACGGTCGCTCGTAGGACTGATATAATGCGCCGATCGTGTTAGCGAGAAGTGGGCGGTGGTGAGGGTGGCAATGGTGTCGAACCAGTTACCTCCACAAGGGACCGGAGACGCCTGGCCCGGGGCGCTAGATAAGATTGTCGACATACGTAGTAGTCGTCAGCATCATCGGTTGATATCAGCGAATCGTGAGCATAGAACTTTGGCCGACATGGAGCTGGTGTCAGCCCGCGGCGGCTAGGAATGCCAGCCCCGGGGGCGCAGCCGCCAGCTGACACAGTTTCGGGATGGGTGGACAAAGCGGCGTGATGGTCACTGAAGGTCGCATGCAGACATCAACGCTATCGTGGTCGGGGGGGGTGGTGACCAATATATAGACGAGCGACGCGGCAACCGCCGAAAGATAAAAGCGGCAAGCGGTCACGGGGGGGCGCCTGACCCGATGCGGTCGGAGCACCCCCGGCACCCTGACGCAGAGTACGGAGTATAACTACTAGTATCTCGGAATGTTATCCCGTTGGAGGAAATTTTATCCCCACTTTGAACATGCAGCTTACCACAGCACCTACGTAGGCCGGTCAGGGTTGGATGGACAGGTGGGAGCAGCAATGCTTATGTAGTAACCTCTACTTCATTATAAGCATGCATCATGCAGTTCGAATAATTTGATCCGTCCAGTAATAAGTTGAGAAAGTCTCACCAACTCGCTCCAAATTTGGCACAATACGTCTCAGGCTCAAGGCAGACACCATTCACCGATCATTGATCCAGGAGCCAGTACGCACTTATGAATGATAACCTGCTTTCCAATATACTTCTTCAGGGCGGCTCTTGACTCGTGATTCTCCAAGCTCCGTGTTATGGATTAAGCAGGTAAGAATAAGGTTCTTACTTGTTGGTCCCAAGTTGAGAATTGGAGGTCGTAATGATGATGATGTTGATGATGATCAGCCGGAACGCAGGTTGCCCCGCTATTGGCTAGCTGCTCTTTATAGGGAGTCGGTACCGGTCCAGAGACTTCCATCACTCACCTGCCTATGGAGTATCTGCACGCACCAGCAGATAACATCGAACTTTACTAATAATCATCATGGGGTGGCCTCAGGTCGAGCCCACCACATCTCATTTGACCTACCTCATCGTCTCCGTCTTCCTCATAGCGTATGCGCTCTACTCTGAACTGATCCGTAACCGACTTCATCTCTCTGAACCTCCTCTCGCAACCCTCGTTGGCATCATCTTCGGACCACGAGGTATCGGTATTCTGAATCCGGAGAGCTGGGGCTGGCAGGACGACATAAGCCAGGAGTTCACGCGCATCATCGTGGGAGTCCAAGTTTTCGCGACAGCCATTGAGCTACCTAAAAGATGGCTATCACGTCATTGGCGAAGTGTGGCGATGATGCTTGGTCCGGTCATGATATTTGGCTGGCTGGCCTCGGCTTTGATTGTCTACCTCATCCTGAAGACGAAGTTCACCACTGCATTAATCATTGGAGCATGCCTTACACCAACTGACCCCGTACTGTCCGCCAGTGTTTTGGGCGAAGCCAAGTTCTCGCAGAGGATCCCCAAACGTCTACGCCATCTTCTTTCAGCCGAGTCTGGCTGCAATGATGGAATTTCCTTTCCCCTTCTCTATGCTGGACTACTTGCCGTCACTAAACCCACGGCCGGTGATGCTGTCAAGGACTGGTTTCTAGACGTGATTATCTGGCAATGCCTGATTGGCACTGGCATCGGCGTGCTTATCGGTATAGCTGCCAACAAGCTTCTCAAGCTATGCGAGAAGAATGGTTACATCCAGGATTTCACTCTTTTTGTGTTTTACTTCCTGTTAGCCATATTCTGCATCGGTGTGGGCAGCACCCTAGGTTCGGACGATTTCCTGGTTGCTTTTGGAGCAGGCACCGCCTTTGCATGGGATGGCTGGTTCACCGAAAAGACTGAAAAGGTCAAGCTGCCCAACGTCATTGATTTACTGCTTAATTCTACTTTCTTTGTCTATTTCGGTGCCATTGTACCTTGGGAACAATTCACAGGGCAAATGAATGCGTGGAAACTGCTGGCTTGTCTGGTGCTGATCTTACTGCTGCGTCGCATACCCATCGTCCTTGTGACGCACCGCTGGATTCCTGATGTTGGGAATTACCGAGAAGCCCTCTTCTCTGGTCACTTTGGCCCGATAGGCGTCGGTGCGCTGTTCCTAGCCATTGAGGCACGAGCGAGACTCGAGACAGGAACCTCCGATCCTCTTCCACATCCTCCCGAACACTCACCATACAAGGCTGCTATAGATACGGTTTGGCCAGTCATCTGCTTTGTTGTAATTGGATCCATCATGGTTCATGGATCTTCCGCAATGGTCATGAGTGTGGTGGGCCATTTTACCCGGCCGAAGAAGGAGCGAGCTCCGCTGATTGGAGGGGAAACAGAGAGATTGTACGGCATGGTCAACGGTAATGACGTGGCCAGTCTGGCAAGTGAAGATTCGGAGTCATAGGGCTTGTCTTGACTGCTTTGGCGGTAAGTATCGAGGACTCATTGACCTCTTATCAATGGAAGCTTGTTAGGGCGACGGCTCGGGTAGATAACAATTGTGGCAAGTCGAATCACTGACTTCGGGGCGATCGATTCCGGGTTGCAAAAGTGGAAACTCGGATGCATAGCACACGCATGGACTGCTTTTAATCTCATGTATAACTAGAGCATACAACAAGAGCTCAGAGTACTAGAGTCAGGTAGAGGCTGAAACACGAGTAATAGATTGCTAAATAGTCTCCAAGATCGAGAGATCAATATCTGACAATGTCAAGCTGGTATCATTACTGCAGTCCAATGATCCGTTCTGCCCGCATCGTTTTTGTACATTCCTCTTAGTATCTAGCGCGCCCTTCCGAGCTCCTCTCCAGGGGAGTCACTATGTTCGCCCAACCGCTGTTGTGACGCGACAATGCTGCCATTTGGTAGGTGAAGCAATACCTTCCGCCTCTGTCCTTGATATAGATAACGATCACGATCTGGTGCATTATGGTTCATCGCAAATCCATCTCCCATGTGCCCCAATCGACCACACAGGCAAGGCCATATTCTTCCGCAGGCAAGCTTCCATCCTTGAAACCTCAGTATTTCAACCCTCAAGCGATCAATCGAAATTCATCTTCCACAGCCCATCCCCCAAATAATGCCCGCCATCCATTACCACGCCTTTCCCCATCCCCTTCATCTGCTCCGTGCCCATCTTCAATTGTCCCACCATACAGATCTCCTCCTTGCCCTCCGCCTCAATCGCCACCACATCCCCCTCCTTGCACTCGTCCTCCTTGTCCGGCAATCTCCCACCCTTACTCGTCAAACCGGGAGCCATGAGCGTAGCGCCCGAGAGCACGAAGCGGATGGCGCCGCGATCGATGCGGAGACGGGGGAAGGCTTGGGGGAAGGCATGTACGAGTTTGAGGTGTGGGATCAGTGGGTCGTCCATGTGTTGCCAGAAGAGGGGGGTGGAATCGAGAATGTAGAGGGAGACGCGGTCGGGTCTGGATTATTGACAAGGGCAGTGTTAGCTGTTTCGTGAGAAGCGAGTGTGAGAGTGTGAAGGTGCGAAAGAAGAGAGTCTGTGATTACAGTTTGACCAGGTCCAGTTGGCTCTTCTTGGGTATTATTTCATCGATGTAGGGTGCGAGTTTGGGGTAGGTCTCGACGACTTTGGTGCGGATTGCGCGTTGGACGGAGGACTTGACTTTGGACTTCGCGCCAGGGGTGAGGCTGTGGAGACCAAGTCAGCGACGGACGGTGTACCATGGGCGGTGTACCATGGGCGGTGTACCATGGTCAGCTGAGGGAACAGACGTACTCTTTCTTAAACATGGTCGAAGTACTATAAGCGTTAGGTATTCCTTGAAGCGGTGGGTATCTGCTTGTCCAAACTCGATTTGCTTCCTAGGAGAACCCTTTTCCCCGCACAATGGTCCGGAGGTCTCCAATGTGGGGAAAGCTATTGCCAAAACTGTTTAGCGTTTCCGCTCCGCGTACGGGACCTTCGGAATCCCACCCGCACCCGCTCCCGCTCCCGCTCCCGCTTCCCACCTTGCCATTGCCAATTGGCACGTGGTGGTGGACGGGGCGTATCTTTATGCATTGATTCTGTCTAGTTCACCTTCATCTCCACCCCATTGCTGACACTCATTCAGACAAGTGTGGTCAATATGCTACCCTCGCAATGGGGGCAACCAACTCGACACAATCATCCGTCACCCTCAAGACACCCCGAGGCAGCCTCCGCGGCATCCAGCTTTCAGACGCCGCAACTAGTAAACCAGTCTACCACCGTTACACCCGAATTCCCTACGCTCTTCCACCCGTCGGTCCTCTACGCTGGCAGAAGCCACATCGTCTGCCCGATGATTTCTCTTTCAATACCAACGAAGACGGGCCGGGAGACTACACTTCTTTTGGTCCGATCTCTCCTCAGCCCATCTACAATCATGAATCCGCTCGACTGTATCCTCCGGAAGCTGCTCCGGAGCCGGCGAATGTGCAGAGCGAGGATTGCCTGTATCTGAATGTCTGGGTTCCGGCGGGACGAGATAGGGAGAGGCCGGCGGCCGGCTGGCCAGTGCAATTTTATATTCGTTCGTTGTCATCCTTCCTTGAGCCTAGCCTTTTTGTACTATTCTTCGTCGGATATCCTCTCTTAAAGCACACATCTCCCAATGATTCGCTATTGTCGAATTTCAAATCTCCTATTTTCAAGCATACATCTTTATCTCCCACCATTGACTAACCCCGTTACTCGTACTCCAGATGGAGGCTGGCTCCAAGTCGGCGATGCAATGCAAAACAACACCAACGAGCCCTTCGACCTGCTTCTCCACACCTCTCATCCCCGGATCATCGTCTCACCAACCTACCGGCTCAACATCTTCGGCTTCCTCTGTGCCCCCAGTGACCCTAACTCCCCCTCCTCCTCCCCCTGCCCCGGGAACTTCGGCTTCTGGGACCAACGCCTCGCCCTAGAATGGACCCACGCCCACATCTCCTTCTTCTCCGGAAACGCCAACAACATCACCCTCGGCGGTCTCTCCGCCGGCGCCCACTCCGCCATGTTCCAACTCACCTACTCCGCCAGCCGATCACGCCCCGAATCCTCACCCCTGATCCGCCGGCTCTACCTCTGGTCCAACGTCGTCGGCATCCAACCCAACCCGCCCACCTCCCCAGCCATCCACTCGCAATTCAACCAAGTAACAACCCACTTCAACATCGCCGCCTCCCTCCCAACCTGTGAAAAACTCTCCATCCTCCGCACCATACCCGCCCACAATCTGGTCGCGGCAATACCGCATCTAGAACTGCACACCTTCCGCGCGGTGACCGACGAGGAATTCATCCCCTCGGATTTCCTCTCCTCAATCTACCACCCGGACCCCGACCCCGACGCATCCGGATCCGGATCCACCAACTTCTCATCCCGCCTGAAAACAAACCGAGTCAAGATCCTGCTGGGCGAAGTCCAGGACGAAGCGCGCCTATACCGATTGGTGAACGCGCCGACGAGCCTCTCCGGGCTAAAGCTCCAGCTGAGCAACTACTACCCGTCGCGCGTCGTGGACGCACTGTTAAATCACTACCGCCTTCCTACTCCTCCTAACCATCTTAACCCTCCCCCCACATCCTCCCCCCCATCCACCCAGCAACAAGCCACCACCACCCCCCCAGAAAAAGAGCCCTACAGCACCCTCTTCGCCACCACCACCGCCAGC